AATTGGTTTTAACCTCACATGAATCTTATCTTATAGTGACCTAAGCCCCCCAAAAGAATTGAGCCCCCCTAAAAGTATATGTCTAGTTGCGCCCCTGCAGTCATGCCAACATATGATATGAAACTTTCCTTTCTACGATCTGAAACGTGATTGATGAAGGGTTTGTACGTCACAACTCAAACGGGAATGTTCAAGTCTGAAATTATAATTCAATTTTTAAAAAGATATCATGGAATTTTTCCTAATTTCATATGTATTCTAAGTAATGAAGGCTTAATCTATGCAATTCAATGATTTATTTGCGAATTTATATTTTTTGTAACATGTCTATTTCAATAGTCGATTGAGAAGGGGTGTTTCAGCATAACTGAATTTTTTTTTAAACACAGTCTACTGCTGAACGAGCGAAATGTTTAAACGTAAGCGACGACAGATAAGTGGAAAATATTTCTTTGCCAGCTCTTGACATCTTGTTAACCGACACGAATCGGGTTTATGCAGCTCGTGTAATTACGACCAACCCGACCGTCTTAGGTGTACATATGTTTCGGGTGGATGTGAGGCGATACTAATTAGATGGCGATGTAAGTGTATCGTTTGTCTTGATTACGAGCACCAGTACTGCCCGACAATCATCATTTATTTGTTTAATGCGGCGTAACATGATTAATTATTAATTCACCTCTGTGTGTGCTTTACAAAAAAAAATAAATAAGACAAATAATATAAATGGATAAACCTTACCTACTGTACTGGATGGCAAACTAAGAATAGACACCGGCTGTATCTCAGAAACTGCTTAACTTTTGGGTAAAAATCTAATAAGTAAATTGGCCAAGAGAAATCGCTGGGAAGTTTAAAAAATGTCCGTATGAGACGCATCTGTGACGGACAATCAGGAAAAGAGTTTTTCTCAAAAATATGCACGTGAAGAGTTACCTACTTTAAATATTGCTATGATAAAAAAAGATCACAAACCTTAGGTATACCGATGACACGTTATTTCTTGCATATTCAGAGGAAGAATTAGTTCCAATAATGAGAAGGCAGAGTACGATCAGTGCAGAACATGGCCTTATGTAGAATAAAAAGAAAACGCAAGTTATGATGATAGACCGAAATCTTACTAACATCAGGGAAATTTATGGATTTGAACTGGTCGAAAAGTTCAATTACTTCGGATTCTTCATAACAAACAAGGGAGGCTAGACAAGCCTCAGGGAGGAAGGGAATCAAACGCAGACTAGCAATAGCTCGTAACTCGAGAATAAAACTGACTCCGAAATTGGAAAGACTCATAACACAACAAATTAAAATTACGAAACACATTGATCTTTCCTATCACTACTTGCATCTGATCATGATGCATCTCTCCAAAGAAAGAATTCATCTCTTGGAGAGATGAATCCGCCACATAGGTATAGACATTTTTTACATCATGATGCATTTGAGACCTGAACCTTGAAAACTACAAACCCAAGAAAAAAATTCACAGTCCTTTACAAAGATGCAACCGGGGGGGCATTGAAAATGATGAATAAAAACGTAAAAATATAATTAGTGTTAATATGAGTGTATTACATACATATGTTTAAATAACGAACTTAAAAAACAACAGATTTAAAGATTCACTGAAAAAGTAGTAATGTTAAAATTAAATAAAACATTATCAATAATAATTATGCGATCGCACCTATCCGTAAAACAAGCAAGCAAAAAAAAGAATTCTTACGGAAAGTTACACTTTACTATATAATTTTTTAACTGTTAAAGGCAAACCTAATTTAAACACAAAACTTTTTAATATCTACTACTGTATCTAAAAGACTTTTTTTTAAATTACTAAATTCTTATCCACGCTTCTGTTTTTCTTGGTTGTTGTGCGTCACGTCACAGATTAACAGGCCCACGTTTGCACCACAAGGCGATGCTGCAGACCACTAGGTAGACCGGTCGTAGAAATTTATGTTATACAACTTGTAATCAATCTGCACAAATATTATCAAAAACTTTTTTTCTTTTAAAATTTGTTCAGATTTCCAAACCAAACCAAACCAAACTTTACCCATTTGGCCGATGAATTTCAAAAATTTCTTCTAATTCTTTTTGTAGGATTTCATTCTTCTAGACCAAATAGTAAGGAATTTTCATACAACAAACTGTTCCGAGATAATTTTACTCTCTAAGAGGATGAATTTCCTAAAATCGCTTTGTGTAGGTAATTCACTAATGTCGTTTAAACGAACCTTTGTGCTAATATTTATGTATGTAAAGCTGGCGGCATGAACTCACTCTAAAATATCTAAAAACGTAATATATAATCTAACTGACACACCACTGACAATGACAAATAATTTATTTCTGGAGGTATTGTGTGTAGGTGTTTTTCAGGTATGTTTTAGTATTTAGTCGTTTTACACAAAGAAATAGCCATTAAGCACTATAAAAATACTTCATAACAAATCTACACATATATACCTTTCATTTAAAAAAAGAATCATCAAGATTGGTAAAGCGGTTTCGGCGGGATGGATGCAACAAAAAAACCCTTTGAGCTTTTATATATGTATGGATTAATTATTTTTCCAACATATTTTACTTTGCAAATTTTTATAAATATTCAGACTCGCCAATATCGTACTCCACCGTGTCCAGCCTGTTTAGCCAAACGTAGGCCGATTCCTCTTCGGCGGCGTCGTGACCCTGGCCGAAGGAAGAGTCTTGAAGACGCTCATCCGCGCATAGGAATAAGTTGACTGCGTAGCGTATTGCGTATTAATCGATTCTGAAACTTTCTATCTCGTGTATAACATGTTACGCAAGTTTATTATTTTAATCTCGATTTTAATAGATAAATGTGTGAAATGCCACCTGAATATCTTCCGCCATGACATGTTTTTACTTTTTTGTTATGGTAAAGTGATTTGTATAAACTTTATTCAATAACGTATATTTTCCTCCATTTGTGATTTTTTAATTTTAAGCGAAAATTAAGTATAACATTTTAGGAAAAAGAAACACTGTAATATTTAAAAGAATAAGAAGAAATTAGTCTTATTTTGAAAGGAAAATATAGAAAAAACTCTTTCTATAGAAAAAGTCTTTATACTAACCAGAATCCGGTGACATATACGCGGTCTCACCGGAAACATTACTTATTACTTCGCATAACTTGAAGAATATCTACTTTTAATAATGAACACTTCAGAAATACACCAGTAAAAACATTTATTATTTGAGATTAAAACTCGAATTAAATTATAAATATTAGTTACCTATGTTGTTATAGCTTTTATAGGCCTGTTTAACGACTTAATAAGTTACCTAGCGAAAAAATCTGTGCGCGTACCTACCACTATTGTTACAGGTTAATTCGTTAAAGAAATATGTTACACAAGTTAAAAACGCTAAAATTTTAATGGTATTACTTGTGCATTATTGGCCTTATAATGTAATTTGTTGGAATTATATCTTCTTTAAATATAATTAGACTTTTTAACGACTTTTAAGTTACCTAGGAAAAAATCTGTGCACGTACCTACCAGTATTGTTACAGGTTAATTCGTGAAACAAATGTGTTACATATTATTCGTGGTATTAGTGGTATTATATTGGAATCAGCTTGGCATTAGTGGGGCATTATATGAGAAATTTTGGTATTTAATTTGTATTTTTGGCATTACTTTGGCATTAGTATACAGACATTTGTCAGCGGTTTACTCCTTGTAGATAATCAAAAAGTTTTTTGATAAAATTTGCTTTTTATGTCAGATCATTTCTATGAAAAATTACATTAGATTTTTATTAAAGACGCTGGGTAATTAAAACATTGACTAATAAAGCTTGTCCACTTTAAATAAGGGGTCACGAAATATCCTCCTTGGAGTGTTTGGGTTAAGGGGTGTATAATAAATTAATCGTTGTTTTATAATAAAAACCATAAAACATTTATTTGTGAGTAAAATAATGCAATGGTTGGATATCTCTCCTTTATAATTAGGTGACTAAAAATACACTAAAATAATTAGAAAAAAAATCTTGTACTTATTTAGTAATTACGTCAATATTAATTAATTGACTTTCTAGTCTATTTTATTTTATTTACAAATATTGTCCAGGACGATGGAAGATTTTATCAAAACGAAGACAAAAAGAAAACCGGCAACCGCGCCATGCCGGCGTACGTGACGAGGAGAAGAGACATCGGACACTTTGCCCACAGCAGCGAACGGCACTGCGTCGACATCTCAAAGACCTTTGTAAATACAGTTAAATATTATTTGTAATTTGGAAATAAAGTTCTTAAAAAAGCAACACGGTGTACGTACATACAAGTTCAACAAAGATAGTCAAATCTACGACATTGATGGTCCTTCGAGCCCGATAGTGTAACTGGAGAAGAATCGGTGCTGTTCGCTCGGCCATATTGGGTAAGTCATTCCTTTTTTCCATAAAATCCTTTCTTGTGCCGCTTAGATTTGCGATAAATACAGTGTAAGCAATACGATTTATGTAATTTAATACGAATAACAGTCGGTTTTATCAGATCTATCATACGTTTTATTAATAATCATACGGGTTCTTATTTTCTTTTTAGTAACCACACGCGACTTTGGACCTTACGTCCATACGTTAAAGCTCCGCCCACTTCATTCGTACGTTCCAGCTCCCTCGCGCGCGGCTTTGGGCCTCGGCGAAGTAAAGGCGACGTTGCCAGACTTAGAACATTTTATCACTTTTACAGAAATATTACGAAAAATATTTAATCTGTTTTTCTATATACTTATTAAGCGGATTCTCTTATAAATATTTAATTTCGACATTAATTACTTCGTTTTCATAAAAAAAATAACATAAATACGTATTTATAATTCCAAATAAGAAATTTATACGCGACAAACTATAACTAATATGTCAGACGAGGCGATTAAAAAACTTAAGCGACAAAGAGGTTCAGTAAAGGCCAAACTCACAATATTTTCAAAATATATCAATGAATTATGCGTAAATATAAACACAGAAAACGTAATAAATGCGATGATTTTCATCAATTAGAAACTCGACTTACATTATGCGGAAAACTAATAGACGAATTTAGTGAAATTCAAGCGGAAATAGAAGAAGTAGTATCAGACGCGGATTTAGAAGCAGAATATAAAGAACGCGAAGCATTTTCGAATGAATATTTTCACGAAATTAGTAAAGCAAAAAAATTGATTTTTGAATACAACAAAAATAGTAATAGCAATTTAGATACCGAAAGCGCAGCGGCCAGAGACAGTGTCTTTCACACAAATGTAAAACTTCCCCCCATACAAGTGCCTAAGTTCAGTGGCGACTATGAGACGTGGTTAGAGTTTCGTGAAACCTTTGAATCATTAATTCACACAAATGAATCGCTTACTGGCATTCAGAAGTTTCACTACTTAAAAGTATCCTTAGCGGGTAATGCAGCTGAGGTGGTTTCATCTCTGGAATTTTCTGCGAACAATTACGCTGTAGCTTGGGATCTCTTGTGTGATAGATATAATAACTCGAGACTTTTGGTTCAAAATCATATAAAAGCGATATTTAACATTCAAGCGTTTTCAAAGGAATCATCTAAAACATTACGTAATATAATAGACACATTATCAAAACATCTTAAAGCTCTCAAACAGTTAAACCAACCTGCTGAGCATTGGGATACTCTTATCATATATATAGTAACATCCAAATTAGACACCGGAACGATTAGGGATTGGGAAGAATATATTTCAAAGTTAGATGTCCCAAAACTTAGTGATCTAAAATCTTTTCTAAAATCAAAGGCTGACCTACTTGAAACAATTGAGTTAAAAGGTAGCGATACGCGTTATAAATCAAATAAAATAAACACATCAAAGGTGTTCTTAAATAACGATACGGATGAAAACATCAATAGTCAAGTTTTAGTTTCTAATACACATGCTAACGCGCATGATAGTAACGACAATAAAATAATTTGTGTCTTTTGCAAACGTGAAAATCATTTTATTAGAAATTGTGCTGATTTCTTAAATCTATCTCCGACAGATAGGGTAGAACAAGTAAAAAGGCTTAGATTATGTTTAAATTGCCTACGGTTCGGTCACAAAAACACAGAATGCAGATTGTCCAACTGTAGAAAGTGTAATGGTCGGCACAACACACTTATTCATATATCTATCCGAAATAACACACAAAATAATACTGGCACCTCAACTACCTTGTCGAGTTATAACTTAGGTAGTGTGCTATTATCGACCGCTTTGATTCAAGTTGAAGATCAAAATAACAGAACACATACAGTACGGGCCATTTTAGATTCCGGTTCGCAATCAAACTTTATCAGCATGGACCTTTGCAAGCGATTAAAGTTGAAAACGTCAGAAACCGTTATGGCAGTAGCAGGTATTAATAACGCGATCTCTGAAGTCAATAAAAAATGCGAGTTAAAAATTCATTCTCAACATAGTCCATTCAACGCGATTAGCAATACGTAACTGAACGAAGTGAT